TGGTTTCCCTCCGTCAATTGCGAAAGCATTGATTCAAAGGCTGGTGACCAATCAGACACTGTGAGAAGAAGCATGGGGTTGCATTATCGGACTTGCTGACCAACAGCATGGACTTCAATGCTACCCTTCCAATACCACAACGGCTGAAAGAGCAAATGTCCCACCGGAAGCTGACCTTTTTCACTGACTCGACCAACAAACTGACTAAACTTGAGGCATTCTAGTTGGCGGCCAGAACACGGCCTTCAAATTTCAGGCTTTCAAGGATGCCATGCTCGTAGAGATACGGTTAGCATTCTGGGCTTTATAATGCAGTCCATTTGCATCAAAGGTAAACGTCTCACAGAAACGCGCCAGAGCTGAAGAAGGCGGCAAGCAGCGGTTTCCTCAATCGTGAAGAGAGATCAGCTTCGGATTAAAATGAAGTGTGAGTGATGGGGCGATGGGCTGAGGAGTGTTTGCTGGCTTCTGAAGATCGCTGCCGAATGGACGCTTTTGTGTCAGCAACTGCATTTAATAGAGGCTATTCATACATGGTTTGCAAGCCTCTCAAAACAATAGTACCAGACTGAAAGTGAGGCGCCGATTGGTTAGAGGACTGGACCACATCCTTGCTCTACACGGCACGCTGACCGGGAGCGACCCACAGACGGCATCCGGGGAGCCAGGGATCCAGGTACTATTTGACACATATTTAGCTTGGGGCTCTGGGGCACTGAGGCTGGGGCTGACACTCAGCAGTAAGTAAATGAAAATATAGAACAAATTACATATACCTATGTAGCTAGCTGGCCTGCCTCGTGAGGACTCGAGTTTCGTTGGGCTTGTACATGTAAGCACATGTTATAATTACATACCAACCAGATTTCATCCTTCAACAACTGCATGTCTCTGGCTGCTTCTCTTACTTAATTGACGCTCTCCTTCTCCGAACAATGCCACTACGATCACAGCATTCCACGCGTCGTATAGAGTCGTCGTTCCCACACTCTCTCGTTGCCCTCTTTCTCCTGGCCTTTCCTCATCTCTCCGCTGCAGCGGGCGTAATCATCTACCCATGGGATAAAGGCCCTTTGAGCGCCAACAGCTACGGCGCCGTTCGCACGACCTGGGGTTCCAATGACTGCGTTAATATGTCATGGACCTCGTCAACATCAACCCCGTCCCAGAGCCTTCATCTCGAATGCAACCAGGGCCCTAACGGTACCGCCCCTCCCTGGACTCGGGTCTGGACCTTCAACTCGACCGCCAGCTCTGGCAACGGCTCCAACCTCTTCTGCGTCGCCAACTGCAACCCGCCGCCGCCTGTGAGCAATACGTGCCGTTTTGTGCTGGACATTGCCTTCGTTTCAGGCGAGTCGTCGACCGACACGGCATATTCCCCGGATGTCAGCCTGAATATTATTGACCGGAAGACGGGCGAAAGCACGACATATCCGCTACCGCAGTGGACAGCCACGGGAACTGTAACAACATCAACATCAACCTCAACGGCAAGCGTAAGCGCCTCTACGACAATTGCTTCTCCTTCTTCCTCGTCAAACTCCGCTTCCAGTCTTAGCACTAGCGCCAAAGCTGGCATCGGCGTCGGTGTCGGCGTCGTCGGTGTTATACTCATCGCTTGTCTCGGAATCTTCTTACACAGACGGAGAATGACCCGAATCGCGGGGACGACGCCAAGTTCTGTCGAGGCCGCAAAGTACAACGAGAAGAATACAGAGCCGTCGAAGCCCACGCCGCAGGAGTTGGATGAGACCGCCAGGCCTGTAGAATTGCCTGCCAATTCGAGGTGACACCCTGTTCGGCATTTGAAAAGACTGTGAGAATGATGCCATCTATAAGTTGTGTATATAAGTCCAGACCTTTTTTTTCGACAGTACACTCTTTTTGGAGCATAGATGTTAGAGTGCTATTCTAGAGGGTGTAAAATAAAAGTGTAATTTTCTAAAATACTACGTCACACCTTGCACTTTAGAGCGGTGGTGCAAGGCGTACAATCAGCCGAAAGCTGCAAGTCTGCGGTCAACGGGTAAGGCAGTCTCCGAAGAAAATGAAGAATGAAGCATCTACAATCATACATTCACTGCGTCATTTACACCATGGTAGTATCAAGTGGAGTTACGTAGCCCCGTGGACTTTCTTATACGGATTCTGAGTAAGAACCTGCCAGCTCCTAAGCCATTGGTCCCTAATTTTCATTTTGATGCCCTCCGGAGGTAATGTGTATGCCAGATGGTTACGGTCAAACGGGGCATCGAGCATCAAACCCTGCAGCGTTTTCACACGCGAGACAGCCACATAGCTCAGACCAGTCTGAAAGTCACGGCAGGACAGGTCTGTCACAATCTTGTCTTCGGTGATGCTCTGCGACTTATGAACTGTAATGGCATAGCATACGATCAGCGGAAACTGAGTGCGAGTGCAGAGTGTGGCTCCAATAAGGAAGTCCCTGTCTACCGGCAGAATCGGGACAATCTTCCTACCATCCGCGGTGGTCAGGAATGCCGGTCCGGTATATTTGTCAAACTCCATCAAGATAACACACGGTTGGTCTCGGACGGGGTCAGCCCCAGGCGCCCAGCAAATGTCGTACACTGTGCCACGCGCGCCGTTGCAGAGACCAACTTGTTGCCAGAGGTTGCACGTCAGCATCAGACGGGCACCAATGCATACAGGGACCTGTTTCGCAAGGTTGCCGGCCTTGTCGTCCGGGGCAGCAGCCGCGCCGGGGCCGACGTTCGTAGCGATGACCTGGATGACTGGTCGGCTGAGGCGGTCAAGGTGGTAATGATTATATTCGTTCACCCGGTCTTTCGTGGGGCGTACACGCGTAAGGCATCGGCGAACCTGGCAACCTCCCGATCGTCTAGCTTTGCCTGCACGCGGCCCGAGAGAGGTTTCCAGGACTCGTGAGATAGTTGGAGCAGCCGAAGTTCCCCGAGAGCCTTGCGAAAGGCCGTCTGATCGTCGCCGCACTGCTGCTGAACAGCGCTCAGAAAGATAGATTTATCGAAGCGCATATACGCGTCCCTGCCTTTGATTTCTACTCCCTGCACTTCTTTGTCGTAATAAAGCCGCTTCTGTAGAACAGGAGGAAGCTGGAAGAAGTCGCCCACCAAAAGGATATTGAGTCCGCCAAAGAACTCCTCGTTCCTATGCGGAAATGCCTCGAGGAGGCGGTCGTCGATCCAGGATAGCTGGCGCAATCCCAGCATGCTTTTCTCGTCAATGATCAGGTACTGAATATCCTTCAGCTTCTTCTGGAGCTGGGCCTTGTCGATGGCGGAGAGCGGCCTGAAGTCCTTGTTGATCGGGAGGTGAAGCAGCGAGTGCAAAGTGGTGCCTGATATCTGATTTCCTGCAACGCCCGTCGGTGCGGCACGCCAGACAGGTGTCCCTCTCCCGCCTGTCGCGGCCTGAAGGTGCGCCGAGAGCAGGTTGATCAGATACGACTTACCCGTCCCACCGCCACCGTCCACATTTAGTAACAGCTGGGAACGGTCTTGGGTCAGAAAGTGGTCCATCACTGTGTCATACACTAGGCGCTGCTCAGCATTCAGGAAATCGCGAGCTTCTAAGGGCTGATGCTCCACATCAAGTGGAAAGGAGCTTTCCTGCTTACGTCGCTTCCAGTAGTTACCGCGGAGAATGTCTTCGTTGGTATATCGTCCAACGTGGGGAGTCCAGTCATAATTCACGTCGATAACTCGGCGGCCTAGTACGTCGATGTCTTCTTCCTCCAGCAGCCGGTCTGGCAGCATGCGGGCGAGTTCATGCCAATCCTCCTCTGTGACGGGCTCGTCATGCACCTCCTGCTCAAACTCATCGTCCTCCGCTTGGAGCTCGCTTGTTCCCACCTCACCGTAATGGTCGTCCTCATGGAAATGGTGTCGCTGGCGGCAGCACTGATACGCTGCAACAAAGGACTCGAACCACTGCCCGTCCACAGCAAGCAACTCCTCCGGGGAGCGATGCGGATGGGCCATCATCAGCTTGACGCGGCAGAAATCGTGAAACTGGGTTGAGGCTTCCACGGGCCTGTACCGAGGAAAGTAGGACAGAACCCTCTTCTTCGCATTCGCACCGAGTCTCCTCCACGTCTTGAGATTGTACGACTGCAAATACTCCAGATAAGTAATACTCTCATGCTGATCAATCATTTCTCTGCAGGTATTTCCGGTAGCTGCCGACAGCCTCACTCACATCATCATCGACGCGGTACGACCGCACATGCTGTTCCAACGGGCGGCAATCGACGTACACAACCATCCGAGTCCCTTCCTGCAGAGGGATGTTGAGCAGCAAGTGGGAAATCTCCTGCGCTGAATAATCCCTCTCGGCAATCAGCTTATTCATAAGACGAGAGGAGAAGGACAATAGGGGTTGCAGGTGTGCCGTGTGCGGCAAAACTTGGTCTGCAAGCTTACAATAAGGCTCAGTCTTCTTCTCCGATTTGCTGCAATACTTGGCAGCATATGTAATGACTGCTTGTAAACTGGTGCATGGAGATATGTCAATGTTGGCTAGCCATCCCAGAATGATGGCAGGATTGAAGTGGTTGATGAGGTTGTCGTTGCGGGCCGCCTCGAAGATGTAGTACGACTTGCCTTCCTTCCTGATGACCGCGGCTAGCTCCCGCAAGGCACAGGGAAAGTCAAAACGACACTCCCTTTCCGGATTCGTCACGTCACCGCTTCCTTTTCTGACACGCAGACAATACGTGGTATTGCATCTGTGGCGCTGGCAGCGGTTGACAATTTGCGAGAGCCGCAGGAATGTCATCTCCACGCCCAGTGGATCTACGCTCAGCGGATTACCCTCCCCCTGGGGCACAGTCCTACGGGGCTCAGGGTTCACGGCCGTGATATGGAAGCCCCACGTGCGTGCGAATATGTCACGAGCAGCTTCGTCCTCCATGTCGGCGGCCGGGCTCTCCTTCATCCAGTACAGGCCGTGGTTGTGAGGACTGCCGCGCCCTTGCCATTCATACCGATCCCAGTAATCCGTGACGTTGAACTTCTTCCGCAACACGATATCTCGAAAGAAGCAGTATCGGCGGTAGAAGTGGAAAGCAGCAATGTGAGGGTTCTGCCGCAATAACTACCGTGACAATGCCATCCTCTCCAACTCGGACGCAGCCAGCCACTCATCGTATCGGGGCATGTGTTGGTAGAGGCTCCGCCAGTGCAAATCGGCCGGGCTAAATGTGATAAATGCGCCAGGACAGCCCAGGCTATAGGCATAGACCTCGAGGTCCTGCCTCTTTCTGTTCCAAAAAGGCCGCGTACCGCGAATCGACACTGCATGCCTAGTGATCGAGTTGACCAGCGCCTGCGTCTCGGGATCCTCGCTGTGTTCGAGTGCCTGAATAAGCTGCTCTCGGGTGAGCGGTTCACGAGTGCCATCGTGTTGCTTCACGAAGAATTTGGACCGCGCACGTGCTTGGGACCGCATCAGGGTGTTGAATGCGACAAAACGGAAGGTCGGGTGGCGAGCAAAACGCCCGTCGTGCCACCGCATGGCGTGCTCGATGTAATCCTTGTACTCCAATCGACCGCAAGCGAGGCTCACAAAGTCGGCTCTGCCATCTGGAAAGAGGCAGGGGAATGCTAAGGAGAGCAGGGCATGAGAGCGGTTGAACTCATTGATCGGCGCGTGCCGTATATTCGGGAACCGCAGCTCGTGTTGCGCCTGCCCCTGGGGGCCTGTGGCGAGAGGAGGCCTTGCATTCGCTTCTGGCTCGCCCGCAACAATAGACCGCAGAGCATCGAGCTCCGTGTCCTTGGCCAACAGATCAGGCACCGCAGCCGCGTCCTCTAGCTCAGGCTCTGCCTCCTGATCTTCCTCCGGTCCCACGTCGGCAGCCTCCACTTGACTTTGGGGGATTGCGTCCTCCACATTGCCGTCCTCGGGCAGTTGGCTCAGTCGCTCGTCGTCGATGACGATACATCGATAGCCAGGATAGTGATGACGGAGGTAGTCAAGCCATATCATAACCGCTTGACGGCGCACACGAAACTGGCGGGTAAACTGCCGGCTGAGATTGGCGTGTGATGACGTGTTGGCAGGACGCAGCAACACCGTGTTCAACTCCCGTGGCAAAAGCGGGAGCTGGTTGTACACTAAGCCAACTTCGCGAAGAAAGTGAACGACATGCCCCCGATACTTGTACTGCTGCCCTCGCACCAACATGATGTTCACATGGACGTGGACGCGAGCAATCAATGACTCTTCCGTAGGCGTGTGCTCAGGCAATCGGGCCGGTACGGGGCCAAAGTCAAGTTGATTTTCGGCAGAGAAGAAATAAGGCTCGTCCGGGCCACGCTTCTCATCCTTTCGATAGCAACGCGAGCAGATGCCGTCATAATCAATTTCCATCTGAAACCAACACTCGCGGCATCGGCTGCAGTATTCCATCTGGTCATTGTCAAGTTTAGTCCAGAACTCGCGCAGGGTGGTCTTATCGCGGTCTGTCAAGGCGCAAACGTCGATATCGCCATTCCACACCGGATCTTGTGCATGGAAGAGTGCCAATTCTTCCGGTGGAATCATCACTGGACTCCGAAGCCGTCGTTGCAGTCTCGACGATCTCGACGATCTCGACGATCGTGTTACTCTCCGAGACCTTCTTGGCCGACCTCCTGTACCTGGGGCGGGACCTCGGCGACCACGCCTTGGCTGTGCGGACGGCTGCAGCAGCTGACGGCCAAGAGGGCTTCCATCCACAGGATCATTGTCCTTGTCACCGTCCTCGTCTTCCTCACCTGGTTCAGAGTCCGGCTCGATCCCCAATTGCTCGAGATACCTGCGTGGTCGAGCGGGTGAAAGCAGTACGTTGGCATAGTCCTCAGCGTCAATATCGGATTCTGAGAATTGGCCCCTGTCGTCTCCCTCCTTAGACACCATACCAACACCACGAAACCCACCCGCCCGCGCGTCTATGTTCCATGGTCAGCTCGAAGAATCTACTGCCAGCCGCAGCACAAGGGTAGATACCTTCTCCAGCAACTTCCGAGCCCTGAAAGTAGCGCAGCTGGGATATTGTGGGCGTCAGTGGTACCGTTTCCCCTGCACGGCGTCGTGAACGATGGTCGCGCTGGATAGCGGCCAGCTTGACCCTCGCCTCAGCCGTGGAAGGGTTATCTTGTGAGTCTTTCCCACCCTTGTGGTATCTAGTTGCCAAGTAAGTGTAATCCATACTGGCTGCACTGCTTTGGGTGGTGGCTGCATCAGACAGTGAGACGATCGGATGGGTTGTCTGCCGCACGGGAGGTGAGGGAGCTAGTACCTGGAATAGCCCTGAACTTTGTTGGGCTGGCGGCAATGGAGTCCCCAGAACTGCGTGCGGTTGGTTCATCGAGTCCTCGAAGAAAGATCTGCTCATTTTGTGACGTCCCCGTGAATTCTTTGAAGATAAAGGCCGGGTTTCAGATATTTTCTGCCTAGGCGATAAGCCAGCTTCTTGGTCAGTTCTCTTCGCAGGTCTGTCGGGCGAGGAAGGACGGACCGCGATGTCCCTCAGTGTCTGGGTCGCGCCTCTGGACCTGGAGTACGTCAATTGATCAGCATTGAACATCTTGCAGAATGGGAGATAAGGCCAACATGAGAGGCGCGCTGATTCCGGCAGCTTAGGCAGCTCCTGGTGTACCCAACCGCCTTCCTTCTGCCGAGGAAGTCTTCCTCTGGTTTCTCCTCCCCACAGCGAATGCACACGAAGGAAACCACGCCAGCTTGGGGTCCTCGATGAGGCATTGGACTCATTGTTGATGAAAGCAACTGCATGTTGTGTTGCGATACCCGATGCTCAAAGTACCTGTGTGACACAATCAGGAGCAGCTGTGAAAATGGACCCATTTTTCGATATTGATCATCCAGTTGAGTTACGTTTTAGAAAATGCTGAGACCAATCAGATATCGAGAAACTTTTGCGCACCCCTGTCGCACCACAGGAGAGGCAACCCCACGCGGGGGTGCGCAAAGAGCCTTGAGGAACGAAAGCTTGAGGTGGAAGGGAAGAAAAAAAACAACGTATTACAGAGTGCGCGATGGCATGTTGCATGGCTTAAAGGTATTTGCAGCTAAGCATTCTGTGTCGGGAAATAGTCTCTGGTGGCACCCACTTCTGACGGTGGCTTGCATTGGGGGCCGTTTATTAGCAACGGTGCCTAGGGTATCCCTGATGTACGACAGGTCATGATGCCTCTTATGAAGGAGCACGAAGCGGAGTGACGAAAATTCGTCTGGGGTCTTTTGCAAAAGTCACGGGCCCTTCGCGACAGATATCCTACAAAACCCAATATCTTTCTTGTACACAGATCAGCTTGGGCAGTGCGAGATCGAGATGAGCAAGGAAATACAAATGATGTAGGAAATGCGGCAAGAGGATGAGGTTCTCGATGAGTTCTTGGGACGCACTGGTTGCATGGAGGTTAAGTCTTGCAAAGTATGTGGTGCAGCTGTAGGAGTGAAGTACTGCAGTAGATGCCAAGCAGTGGCATACCGCCGCAAAGAGCACTAAAAGGCGGACTGGAAGGCACATAAAAAGGTGTGTGTGCCTAGAGAAGGTCAGCAGAGAAGGCCTGGACTGAGAAGGGGAGAAGATCAGAAATTGTGGATGGCCTGTTTGACCAGACAAGCTGGGTTCATTTTGTGGCTAGAGATAATCGGTAGAGCTCAGAATTTGCTTATTTTTGTTTTCCGCATGAGAAGTCCAGATTGTTCCGTCTCCTGAATTTTCTTTCGTTTTCGACATGTACGGCTTGGTGAGTTTGCTGTTGAGGAGACGATCTACGTAGGAGTGAAAGTGAATGTCCCAGGTGAAGAAGGGTTCGCTGCCAACTGTAGATGCGCGATGCGAAAGACATTAAATGTCCTATCAAATGACCTGATGGGGTGTACGCTGCGGAGACGGGGGGATACCATTGTGTTTAGTCCGAGGATCAGGTTGATGTTCTAAAAAGGCCCTTTGCGTTATGAGTGAGTTACAAGCCAGTGTGAACCTGGCAAAATATTGCTGGGACTGTGAGGCACACGGACGTCGAAGAGGCAAGGGGCTGGCTGGACTATTAAGGCAGGCGGAGTAGCCAATGAGAGGGCGAGAAACTCTAACCAATGGGAGGCGAGGATTTGGCGGGGAGAAAATTTTGGCGTCAGGGTGCGCATCCTCACAAGGCATTCGTTCCTCAAGGCAAAGATGACCCGGCAACAAGGCCGGCTGGAAGTGCAGCCATCCGCCACTGACGACAAGTGAGGCCAACTACATTTATGTGGCTATCTTGGAGGGTTCAAAATAGGCGTGGCATTTGTCGGCGAACGTGGCTTCAACAAAAGCGAGATACGCGCTGACACCCCTTCGAACCATTAGCAATTACTGGATTTGCTGGGTGCCACAAGCCGGCTTGGATCGTGACCCAATGTCGATCCGCCAGCAGCATAGAAGCATCACCATTCATGCAAAATGCATTTCTGTCGAGTATTTATACTTGAGTCCGCCGAATTTACTCTAATCGGTATGGTTGACAGTTCTCCCATAGTCCAACATGCCTGAAAACTTCCAAGACCGAAATATGGGACGGTTCGAAATGGACCCGATGCGCAAGCCATCAGATGCGTCGTCTTTCCATGCCTATAACCAGCAATATGGGACAACTCGCCAAGGAGCTGTGAGCTGCGGCGTAAATGGAAGCCCATATCCCCAGAGCTCGCCAAACCGCCAAGTCTATCTTGCGGCTCGCTCTGTCGGCATCCTATGCTCCATTGTTCTAACCGTTTTGGCATCCATCACCCTCTCTGTGATTCCTCGTGGAAAATGGGGTGCGGCTGTTCTGAGCCCATGCATTTCCACCCTATTCGCAAGTTCCTTTGAGGTTTGGTGTATCCTTGGTGCTAATCGACGATCACATCATTGGAGAAGAGTGCTCTACGATGGCGCTTTGGGAATCGGTTACGTTATCGCATTCGGGTTTCTTGTCTCTTTCACGAGTCCCGATATCTCCAGATCCGATCCGAAAGCTACAGCAAGCTCAGCTGCAGTTGGAATTGCAATATTAATTCTCATGATGATTGAGCTGTGAGGTTTCATGTCCTTTGTTTTATCGCTCCCTCTACTAACTCGAAGCATTAGATTACTTCAGATTGCGTATACGTGGTCTGGTATAAGAGAGCTGCTTCGCATTCGACATGTCCAGACCTCCGGATACGAAGGCTAGCTAATGAGTTCATTCAGTGTATGTGATAGTACAATTTGCTTTTGTGCTGAACATTGACAGTGATTTATTGGCGAGCCTTGACGCTCAGTGACAGAAACGATGCTTATGGCTATGCAACAGAACAGTTTGTTGTATTTTAACTGCAAATAGTTTGATTCATGCTCCTTAAGTCTCTGGCAACCAAATCTAAGCAGGGGTTGGGTTACATCGCTGGCAGGCTTTAATGCAGCTAGTTAGTTAGTACTTAACGAAATTTGTTAACGTAGGCAGCAATCCGACGGTCCATTAGAGAGAATGAGTTTGGCTCATGTGATTACCAAATCCTGAAATCGTCAATATCAATCTCTCCATTCGAGCAAAGCCTGGGTAGTTGTTTCTCAAAGTAAATACATACTGAACCAAAGCACATATTATTCTACACAGTGCGATACTGGAGTATCCGCGTACGCCGCTGATATTTGAGTGCATGTACGTTGAATATATCGAAGCTAAATCCCAACTCACGAGACCTAGCCAGCAGCTTCGCGCCTGAGGTAAAAGCACCTTCCAGGTCAGCGTCTCTCAAGGACGGCGACGCAATTATGGCCGATGCGCCGGCAAACGCGACCCTCTTGTCCATCACGAGTCGAACGATGACGACAATAATCTCGAGTGCAGCGCCTGTGTTCCCTCGCAAACCCGTTAACCCGTTCAACGTCGGCTCCCTGACCACCACCCATACGCCTCCCAGCTCCTGTGGTTCGTCCGCAATTTTCACTCGCGGCGATAAGTGATATCGCTCTTCATACAGTTATACTACAACGGCCGACGTGATAGTGCCCGCGGAGAACTGCCTGCCGTCCCACTACACGGGACGTGCAGGCACAGGCACTCAGCTCTTCTCGCCTGGTAATGCCTGTCCTGTTGGTTATGGCCCCGGCTGTACCATGGTGGCAGCTGGCGCTACAACTGCCTCATCATTGATGTTGACGGTATGGGACAGGCTCCCAGATCGGTGAGACAGCCACTAGGTGCCGCCCAAGGTAAAGATAGAATATTCTCCAAAGAAGTGGGGTGAGATGCGGGCGGCAAGCAAAACAGCATAGTTTTATTAATTAAAGAATATAGTTATAACCATATAAAGTAAACTAATAAAAATTTCAAGATTTTTATTCTCTTTTTTTTTTTTTGTATTTTTTTGTAAATTTAACTAACTAGACAACTTCAAATTGATTTTATCTCTCGTCTTTCAATTCGATATCATTTTAACTAGCCTAGTCAACGCACAGCTGCAACAAGCAGACACAACTTTTCTCAGCGCCCCAAAACTCTTGGAACTGAATCACACCAACACATGCTCCTAGGCCGGGAAATGGCAAACAGCCCTCGTAGCCAAGTGGTTTGAGGGCCGCGAGGTACACCTCGAGGCATTCCTGGAATTTGTCCTCTGGAACTTGGAGGCTGGTGTGGGTGATGGCCATATTTGAGTGTGAGATATATATGGGTTGCAGGCGTACGCGATGAAGTGGTGGATTCTGAGTGTTGGGAATTAGACTGGAACAGCTGGCAAATTCACGAAAATATATACACTGTGTTGAAAAAGCCACGGCAGTCGGAGTCTCGAATCCCCCGATCCATGCTGTAAAGCTTAAGGTAATATTGGAGACAACTCGTGAAGCCCAGTGCTCCTGGTAATCATCACCGTCGTCACTGTCATGGCACAACATGACTCAATTGGCGGCGCTTTACCGTGAGTTATCGGGAGCCATTCAGTTCACGGGTACCCGTGGATTTAAAGTTCCCACGGGACCCGGCGACTAATACGGGGACGGGGCCCGTCCCTCTAAAAAAAACTGGACGGGAACCCGTCCAATTGCCAGTTTAGGTGTCGCGCCTCCGCTTCCCGTGCCAAAGTCAAACGATGCCACAAGCTCGGCCTGTCAATCCGCCGGTTTTTCATACCCTCAATCTTCCCATTGACATGAAGGCTAGAGGCACGAGAAGCACATATACCCTTAACATCCGGCTGTACTAGTTTAATGGCTCCAATCCTGCTCATAATGTATTCAGTTTGAGGGTTTCCGGGTGAGACCTCAAATGTCTGGGGATGAATGGTGATGGTAAGATCAAGTCCCTCGTTCAAAGCAACAGCCATTGCTGTACTGCTGCCTGGCAGGCAGCAGTACTACAATAAGTATTTAGTTTCGTATCATTCCACTCTTTATGTAGAAAATCAAGAGTCTTTCATTTTGTCTAAGCTGTTCCAAACAATCGTGCTGTGTGACAGTTTAGGACTGATCTGACAAAGCCTTTTCCCGGATATTGTTGCACAGGGGATAACTCAAGGTAATCCAGCACGGCAGTCTCATTCTTGGCTTGCTGTAATACAACGCTATTTTTGGATAATGTGCAAACTTTTAGCACAGGATATTGTTGATGGCTATGTCTGTGTTAGCACCGCGCATTCATTAATTCCTTGTTGCTGCAGGAAATCGCGCTATAGTTCTTTTGCTAACCAGACAGTCGACCCAGTCCCTCGACCGAGTTTGCAGAGATTGCGATATCGCGACTCGAAGACTTGTCCGATACGGGTCGGATAGTAACCTTTAGCAACATGTCCGGGCAGCTCTTCTCCATCAATAGGCGTTGAGGCGGACAACAGGACTGGGCTGTCTGGCGAGTGTCGGATAAAACTGCCTCTGTTGATTGAAACACGCAAGCATTTTGCCACCAGGGTGGCAAGTGGCAATAGTAGTCGTCATACTGCTGCCTCCAGGCAGCAGTATTCCGAAAGTATTAAATATCTTAAGTTTCTAGGGTTTAGGAGAGGGAAGAACAAGAATAACGATTTTGTGAAGGAGCTTAGTTAACATAAGTCTCATAACGCGACAGTACCATGGTGTTAGATTCTCGGTGGTTACAAAATATGAAGGCTGGCCAACCACCTGAATTCATTCAGGTGGTTGGGGAGTAAAGATAAAAGTCCTCAGTTCTTCAAGTTAGATAATGGGGCAGAGCATACAAAGAATACATCACAACATTCTTCTCCATAACAGTGCCACCGTATTTCTGACGACAGGCCGGGCCGGTTTTCGTTGTGTTGGCCCAACTGGGATACCCTCAAGGCTACCCGTTCATCTAGGTGTGGGGCCCACAGTAGCCTACTAAAGGTCTTCGCTCTTTAGTCGGCGCAAAAATACCGGGCCTTCACAAAAACACCGGGACAGCTGACCCAGTCCATTTTGCGTCTGTCGCATAGAGCTGTTGAGTTGGGCAGCCATGGGACCTTCCATCAACGGCAATAAGAGATCGTCGGCTAGGCTGCACGGCCCTCTGCCGATGAACCGCAACTACCAGGGACGGGGGTGCTGTTTTCCCATTCGATAATGCAACGTCGGATGCGTTGACGATTTTGGCATGCTGCATTAGTGTCAGCTAGCCGGTGCCAGCGGGCAGCTCCCATCTTCATCGCGTAACGGCGTGGATGCGCGGATCCACACTTGTGAACGTACTTCCAAGTTCGACGGCAAGACACAATGTTGGTACTGTCCGAATCGCGATGTAAATGTAACCCGGGGTGTCGATGGAGTTGAGAGGCAATAATCTCCCGTCAACCCCAGGCGTGTGTGGATTGAGTTGATCGCCGCCCTAGCTGTAACTGTCACGTAACGATAATTTTGTAGCTGATGTTGGGCGTGTGTGTATCCCTGTCCTCTCCTCCAATTTCAAATAACGCATGATCTTTTCGATGAGCCAAATGAAACAATGATGTTTGTAATCCACATGTGTACTTAAAACATCTGTGGGATGGGACCCTGCACCTGGTTGCCCGTCTTCTTGATGCACTCAACCTTCCCTTTGACATGGTGGCCAGAGGCACGAGAAGCATACATTGACTTTCTTTTTGCTTATTGCGCCTTGTCAGGCAAAGTTGAATCACGTCTACACGTGCCACGCGGCACACCTCAATCCTCAAAGTACTCATTCATCCCTGCCTTGCCGTGCTCCCACATTGCACACTGTATACCGTACGGTGCATGCTGCAACGCCATCTGGAATTGCACTGCTGTCTTATTTTAATTTAATGTCAAGTCCCCTTCCAACCCCCCCTTTTACAACAACAACTACTACTACGAAATCTTCTACAGAATACACGTATCGAATTTGAGATCGCATCTTCGATCCTTAACGACTTTACAGCATGGATCATATGCAGCATTTCCCTCCAGGGATCCTCACCTGCCCAGACCCTTCCGAGTTTGACTACTCCACCTTTCTGCAGCAAGTGGAAGATATCCCTTTCCCAGACCCATCGCACAATACCTCAGCAGGAACTATTTCGGAATCGCCTCTGGGCCAAGCACCAGCCGCAAGGTCGGATGGATGGAGTACGTCTGGTGCTGCGGACATGTCGGTCATGCGCCGAGCTCAGAAGCAAAGGCCGGAGCGAAGGGGACATACCAAGAGCAGACGCGGATGTTATAACTGTAAGCGGAGGCGCATCAAGGTATTTATAGCCAGTCTCTTGCGCACACGACCAAATCCCCAAAGCGCTGGAAACTAACCTGCCTTAATACATAGTGCCAGGAGACTCGCCCTGCGTGCGGTCATTGTGTGAAGACGGGTTTGAAGTGTGAATACCCCTCCCTGCCACAGATCACCTACCAGGTACGAACAGCGGGCGATGATGCATTGTCCACATGATGCGCACAATACCCCAGCGTCCCACGACTAACAATGTACTAGCCTCACCATCAGATTCCTCTTTTCAGCTTGCAGGACATGCGATTCTTCCAGCACTTCCTCACCCAGTGCTACCCCCACCATCCATTAAGGCAAGAGGAGGTTTGGACCCACGAGATCCCCTGCATTGCCCACGATGTACGCTACACACACTGTTGTCGAGGTTAAACAAAAAGCAGGGGTATTGACTTTCTTTCCGATAACTAGCATAAATTCTTGATGCACGCTATATTGGGCTTTGCCGCATCAGAACTCGTCCCCACCAACAGCTCGTTTGTCCAAGCGGCTATGAGCCACCGCATCAAAGCTGTTAAACTCATCAAGAAGCGGCTTTCCGAATCTGCGCGCGCCCAGACAAGCTACGAAGAAGCCAACGCCCTCGTTGCCGCTTGTTTTGCCTTGACTTTCCAGTCTCTGAGCCTAGAGGACGGTCTGGCAGAATATATAACGTTTATTCGAGGTATTGTCATTGTGGGAGTGCAAATGGTGTTCAAGGGCATCAAACCTATTTTCGAGCAGCTATTAGACGAAGACTGGCAGGACGAGGTGATGGAGCCGTATCTACGAGATTTACCGCTGATCCAACGAGGGTGGGCTGCCGCTGCTATCCAGGCCATCTCAAACCTACGGCCATTATGTGTTGAGCCAGTAGAAGTTGAGTACTGCGAACAGCTTCTTGGCATCGCAGAGAAGCTCAACGTGAACTCGTTTGACGGTAAGTTGCACAAGTTGCAGCTTTCAACGGTTCCAAATGTTGCCACCAATACGCGACTCTAACTGTACCTTCAGCATACAAAGCCAACAGCAGACAGTATGCATGGTGGACGATGCTACCACATAGCACCTTCCAACAGCTCATCAACCTCGACAGACAGAGCATGATTCTGCTTCACGCACACTGGATCGCTTTGTCGCAGATTATGGCGTTCATAACCGAACGCGAACACGACGTTCGTGAAAAAAGGCCATCGGCTTCGACTAACTCTGGATCCGCGCCGGGTTCTGTAGGGTGGTTGAAGTTTCTCAATGCCCGAGTGGACTACGAGCATCAAATGTACAACCAGTGGCCGTTGTGGGTAGAAGCACAACTGGACAAAGATCTCACCTTTTTTGGACTACGACTATGAGTGTGATATTAAGCGGGCAATGCGCATTACGGCTTTATTTGTTGTAATTATTACTAGTTATATGGTCTGCTTCTATGGAACTCGAATCGAGTTTCTCTTCGATATCTGCTTCCTACCTGCTCAGACACATCCGTGATATCTCATGATTTTGACAAGAATCTCGTTTCTGGGTGGAGAAGCCTCATGAAACTAATTTCTGTAGGAAGCGACTGCAGACTGATATTGGAGCCTGTCATCTGGACCGTGGCGGCGATGGTGAGAGGAGACATTTGCCAGACACTCGAGTCAGGCACCAAAAACAACATCATCGGCTTTGTGAGGTTTATACCAGATTGGAGTGGTGATGAGAGATCGGGCGAAAAGGGGACGGTCGGTGGACTGGCTCGTCAGCAATCTTGGCGTCCTAGATGGAAGCAGCTAACGACGAAACCGGAGAATCGACAGAGCGTCTTTTGCGATATGCGCCGTAGGCACTGGTGCCGCCATTCAGATCTGCCCCATAACCATCAGAGGTGAGCTGTGCGTTGACTTGATCTGGCAAGAGGGCGTAGATGAAGAATTCGGTAAGCAAATTCCTCGCAGTCTGGAGGCCCTTATGCTTTGGGGGTGGCACTGGAAAGTAGGTGAATCTGTCACGTTATGAGACTCATTGTTAACTAAGCTTCTCACTTGAAAAAATTGGCTGTTGTTCTTCTCTCTATCCTTCAGAAGTGTTCATGTCATTTATCTTAAGTTTAGAACTCTTCCCAGCCACCTGATGAAATCAGGGTGGCTGGCCAGCCTTTCAAACTACTGATATCAATGATTTTATGACATCCAGCAATTACGTCAAGTCTGCTTGTTCAACTAACAGAGGCAGCCTTATCCGACAAAATCCCCGCAGGGGTGAATTAGTTGCTAAGCAGTGCCAACCATGGGAAAGGATTGTCATGGCCGTGGAAACAAACATTCTGGGAAATATTGGAGAATTTCTTCTGAGGACGGCAATCCGAATCTGGAAGATCACTGTCTGGTCAAGTTTGTGGTATTCGCGGCCTTCACGGCTCTATCCTTCACCACAGTGACGGTAGCGTGGGGAGCCAACGCGGCCAAAAATTCCTCCATCTGTCACGTTATGAGACTCA